TCTAAGTTTGAATGCGGTTTCACTCACTCCAAAATACACTTTTTCATTTCCGTCCGCAGTGCCTGGGTACAAAGTGGCTTGATACGCTATGTTATTTACAAGGCATTTTTGATTTAGAGGGCACTTTTAATAACACAATTGCAATGTTTATTGGAATCAGAGGTGTTGTTTTTCATTTTGTGAGGGTTATGAGAGTTAACTATAGATTATATTTTTGGCAAACAACTGCAACTCACTAACTGTAACTGAAAGTTACACTAACAGAACTAAAATTTGTGAAATTTCTTGACGTGACACTGAACCTCAATGATCAATCTTTCAGATCGTTTCGTAAATTAAATGATGGACTAAGTTATATACATGTTGAATCTAATCACCCTCCTAGCATTTGAAAGCAACTTTCTCTTTCTATACAATTAAGACTGTCAGCTAATTCATCTAATGAAAATATTTTTCGAAACTCATCTGATGTGCTAATAAAGCAATTGATATTGCAAAGAAATTTAATAACTATTTTATAAAAATTGGGGAAAAATTTGCTAATAAAGTAACTCCAGGAAAAAATTTTATAAATTGTATCTAGGAAAAAAAGTCTCAGTCATGAACAAGCTTGAAATAACTCCGGACGAGCTTAAAAATGCATTTATTACCTTACAACAAAAAAAAAGTCGAGGACTAGATGATATTAACGTGAACGTTGTAAAAAATGTCTACAATATTATTATTGAATATCCCCTATTGCATATCTGTAATCTGTCTTTAAAAAATGGGATGCTCCCTGACCAGCTAAAGTTAGCAAAGGTTGTTCCTATATTTAAAAACGGAGATGATTCTATTGCTTCTAAGTACAGGCCTATTTCTATTTTGCCATGCACTTCAAATATATTAGAGCGAATAATGCACAATAGGCTACTGTTGATCACGAAATTCTTCTTTATAAACTGTATAATTATGGAAAAAGAAATAACAATTTAATATGGTTTTCTTATCATATGACAACACTCTAACTCGACTTGAAAACATTAATTGTGGGGTCCCACAAGGATCAATTCTTGGTCCATTATTATTCCTCGTTTATATTAACAATATCTACTTATCTTCTAACATACTTAACTTTGTCCTTTTTGCTGATGATACGCAAGTATTCTTTAGCCACACAAACATTAGCCTATTATTTAACACTGTTAATCAAGAACTTGAAAACCTGAACGAATGGTTTAAGACTAACAAACTCTCTTTAAATGTCGAAAAAAGGAAATATATTCTTTTTACAAAATTATCAAAACCTGAAACCCTTCCCTTAAAACTACCTGATTTACTAATCGATAGAACTAAACTTAAAACGAGAATACTCAATCAAATTTTTAGGCGTAATACATAATGAACATATTAGCTGGAGTAATCATATCAAATTAATAGAAAATAAAATATCTAAAATTATTGGTATTATGTATAAAACAAAACATCTCTTGAACACAAATTGTTTAAAAAATATTTATTTTGCATTTATTCATAGCTACATCAGCTACTGCAACATTATCTGGGCAAGTACTTATTCTTCAAAGTTAAATATGATCTATATCATACAAAAACGAGCAAGTCGCTTGATATTAAATGCAAATAAATACGCTAGTGCCAGACCACTGCTAAGAGATTGGAGTGCCTAATGTTTATGAAATAAATATTTTTAGTATATTTATTTTTATGTTTAAGTTTAAAAATGGTATGCTTACTTTTTCTCTTTAAACCACAAATACGAAACTAAATACTCAATAAATAATTTTATTATACCAAAAACGATATCAAAATAATTTTATTATACCAAAAACGTTATCAAAACAAGTTGATTTTTCGATATCTTGCCGAGGACCGTGGTCATGGAACTTGCTTTTAACAAGTAATATAAAAACTTTAAATTTATTTCAATATTTTAAACGTACAACAAAACAACACTTATTTGATTTCAATACAAAGCAATTACTATCCTATTATTAAAAACTTTTGATAATCTTAGTTATTTAATTCGAAACTTTAATGTTATAATTTTATGTTGTAAAAACATTGTAAAAGATTGTTTTTAATGACAAAAATATACAAATGCCCTCTAAATCAAAAATGCCTTGTAAATAACATAGTGTATCAAGCCACTTTGTACCCAGGCACTCCGCACGGAAATGAAAAAGTGTATTTTGGAGTGAATGAAACCGCATTAGATACGCTAACCATACAAAATCTTTTGACATCGAAACATATAAAAACGACACTGAAAATTATCTGTTGCGATGGCGCTCAAGGCTTATCACGTGTTATTAGTTTTATACGTGCTCTTGTTTGTGTCACGTGATCCCCATGCGATCTGTAAGTTGCACGCTTGTAGTTACTAGTTATAGTCGTTGCTCGCTTCTTAATGTAATAATATATAACGAGAGAAAGCTATATCTATATCAATAAATATATATTGTATTTTGTTGGTGTTTATACCCATATATTATCCAAGGAAGTATAGAGGTTAAAAGAATGTGGAGTAAGCTTAATAATTGAATGGAAAACTGTAAAACGTTGTAGATCTTACAATTCCGCAGTAAAACGTTGCAACCTTTGTTTATTTGAAAATTTCACAATATCTTACACCAATGATAGCTTATTAAATTAGAGGAATGAATTAGTTTCTAAATGAAAACATAAAAGCAAATTTCTTCTTTCAAAGTTCGATTCGGGTGATTAGACAGTTTTTTTATTTTTTCTTTCTGTTGTTTGTTGTTATGACAACGGGACACACTTTATTGTAACTTTATATTTTAACAGATTTTT